CATGTAATGTTGATTTTTACCTGTGTTCACTGAATAAATCAGCACTGTTTTGAAGTTACTTGGACTGCTTCGTCTCTGAGAGTTAGCATGGTTAAAAGTGCCGGGTACAACAAGAGGCAGTTTTTGCTTTAACTCGTCTGGCCTTATAACTGAGTTCACCCCTTAACATTATTGGCACCTTCACACGCCGATCCTGACACTGAACAATGTTGACGGCTTTCTCCAACAGAGGTACAGCTAAAATGTTACTTGAAGAAGGTACTGGGGAATATAGCTATAGTGTGTAAATCAATGCCTATAATGTTTGTAATAGCCATACTAACATGCAGCTCTACTGTCAGGGAGGTGAAAGTACAGCTCCCGTGAAGGTGTAGAGCCAGTAAGATGGAATAACACAACAGGTTTTAATGATGTCCTCAGGAACAGAGTCAGATATACACAGTACCAGTCTGAAGGGCTTAGGCAGAGAACAGAACTTAGTTGGGTCCAGGGTCGATATCTCCAGCAGAGCAGTAGGGAAGGCAAGGCAGAATCTCTAGTCGTTAATGCAGGCAAGGTGTCGTTACCAGGAAAGCAGTCCAATACAAAGGGTGAGGCAGAATCTCGGGTCGATAATACAAGCAGGGCGTGGTAGTCAGATGATCAGGCAGAAAGAACGCTGGAGAGTCTAGTTGAGGCATAGAACAATCTGGCAGGTCCCTACAGAGTGAGGAGCTGCTATATGCTGTGAGGAACAGATGTGACTGATGAAGTAGCAGGTGAAACTAATCTGAATGATGACATGAAGTTAGCGGAATGCAGGGTGAGCTGGGGACAGGAAAGAATAAGAGCATACTTGCAGGAAGTGAACAGGGCTGAAACATGACATTATCTGAGAGCAGTCCTGGCATAGAGAATTGGTATCATTATAATGATGTTGCAGCGGCTCAAATCATTGATTTTTAATCATGGGAGACAGACATCCCTGAATGCTACCACCTGGAACAAATCTGCCCTGCAAGAAATGAGGGTCAAAACAGAGAAATTTCATTATGTGCAAAACCTCAGGTGACATTTACCACCTAACTGTTGCTGACCAGGCACACCCCGTCATGGCAGCAGTATTGGATGATGGCAGTGGTCGCTTTCAGCAATGCTCCTCGCCACACTGCAAAAGTTGTTCATGACTGATCTGAGGAATGTGACAGAGTCATGGGTGTTGCCTTGGCCTATAGATTCCCCAGATCTCAATCCTATCACCGATCTGTGGGATGTACAGGAAAAACAGAAACCCCACCTTATGACTAACAGGACTTAATGGATGCTTAATGAATGCTGACGTCTTCGTGTCAGATGTAGGAGGACACCTTTGGTTGTTTTGTGCAGTTCATACTTTGACAGGTCAGAGCAGTTTTGGTGCCAAAAGGGGACCTAGACAGCATTAGGCAGGTGGCTTTAATGTTGTGGTGTATGACAGTTGTCAGGACAACCATCCATCCATCTTCTACTGCTTATCCAGGGTTGGGTCTGGAAAATGTGCTACAGTTCAATATGGCTGCTGTGATGAGAGAGAGATATGAGCAACTCTTTGCCCTAAACTGGCAACAACCACAGGGCTTCACCTACTGTGAGGAGGTCAGATTCTGCTGCTGACACCTGAATCATTCTGTTGAAACGGTGTCTGACATTTATGACTCAGTATGGCCAGATGGTGGCGCCATTCTACAAAGTCAGATAGCGTCTGATGCACAGTTGAAGCAACATTCTGTCAGTGTTCTGTGATGATGATGCATTAGTGGTACGGTGAACCTGTTATTTTATGTATAACACAGTCAGTCTAAGACATCATGCACCTTCTGTGATTATACAGTATATTGTTTGACATAGTTTTACAATAAACAGAAATGATTATACTGTGTAATACACTCTACAGTGTAACAATTATATAACAGCTGTAGTTTTTGCATTTTGGGAAAACAGGATCCATCAAAATGGGACAAATAAAACAGATCAACATGTTTCAATGCTTGAGACTTTTATTTTTGCTTAAGACAAGAAAGAACAGTTCAAACTGCAGAATAAAGTCGAGCTAACATCTTTTCTCCCTAAAACATTCAGTCTGCTCTTATTGAAGGCTCAAAACCTAAGAGACAGTCCAGCTCCTGTT